TAAATTATCCTACATTCACTGGTTTGGAATACTAAGGTTATTTAAAATGCTCACAAAACCTGTATAATCTTGTGGAGAAGTGCTCTTAATAGAAAATAAAATTGAAGTTGAACTTCACACTTCAACAAGGGTTACTGAGTGCCTCCTATGGAGAAACATTCTGCATTTAAGTGGTTAAGTGGGCTGACTGTAGAGTCAGACTCAGAAACTTTCACAGCTATCCCATTATCATTAAGGTGTTTTCTGCTTCCATGAGCGTGTGTGTTTCTGTAAGGAAGAGAAGACTCAACTAAGTTTGCCTTAAGCAGTAAGAAAGCATTCTGACTCAGATAGCTGGAAGTCTGGAGGAAGGCTGCTTTAAGACTGGTTGATTCAGTTATTAATGATAACTTTAATGATGTTATTAAGGACCAGATTTCTTTTTGACTCTTGGTTGTTTTGTCCAGATTATCAGCTTTATCTGAGGCTGTTTTTCCTCAAGGTCATGAGCGTGGTGGCAGGAGTATTGGTTATGTGCTTCCTTGTTCAGTCAAGTGAGAAAGAGAGGTACAGAGAAAGACTGACAGACTGCTTTTCCAAAAGAGCAAGGAACTTCCTTTTCAGTAGCCTCTTGCAAACCTCCTTTCAAATTTCAGTAGTCTGAATTAGTTCATGTGTTGACAACCAGTTACTCTGGCTGAGGGAATGGTGTAATCAGGCCCCACCTGTGGAGCTAAGGGGTAAGATCAGCTTTCACTGAAGCACACAGCTGTATGCCTAAAAGAGAGGCAGATAAAAATCTGATCAAGTTAAGAAAGTGAGTCCGTTGTCTACTTCTTGACTGGAATTGGGGTGCCCTGGGCAGAATTGGCTGACTGAACCATATGGGATGGATTCATCATCACCAAGAGACAAAGACAGGGCAAAGTTTGCTGGGCAAGCAAAAGGAACATATTCACAGCAGGTACTGCCCTACCTAACCTCCTCACACCATCTGCCAACACCCCATAGGCATACTTTTTGTTTCTGCTACTGGCACGGTGAGCCATCAAGATACTCTGAGGTGACTGCAGAATCACGTGATCAGGACAGCAATTTTTGACATGGAGTAATGAGTGACATCTTTACTTGGATGTCCCATAAGCAGTTCACACAAATTCAGTGTGTTTAAAATTAAACTCACCAACTTCTTTCCCAACTAGCTCCTATAAACCCAATCTCAGTATAATGATAAACAAGCTATGATCACTATCTTTACACCAACTGTGTGTGGAGATATTAAAATAGGGAGTTGGTCCATAATTACAGGTATTTTTTTAACCGTATGAAAAAGACAAAAGAAGTGAACGTGAAAATCGTTCTTATTCTATGTCTGGTTGGCATGTTTGGGGTAATTTTTCCTCTAATACTTTATTATTTTGTAAATTTCCTTTAATGCAGTTGTGTAATGTTTCCATTATCAATGAAAGACTTGCAAATAGAAGAGTCCTATGATACAACCCTACCCTATGGTCTCCTATATGGAGGTTTTATTACTTGTGTGGAAATGTATCCAATAATAGCTGCTTCAGAAAATGCATGGTATTTTACACTGAGAATACTGTTGATTAGCTAAGGATTTAATTTTTGACTGTTGTCTAAAACCAGTCATCTACACTGCATGTTTATGTAAGTTAACATGATGTTAAAATAACAAGTAAAAATAATGTTCACTTCGGGAAAAAAAAAGCATGGTCTCTGTTTATGGATGATCTTTCTCTGGAAGTTAGTACAGTTTATACAAACAAAAGGCTTTTCAGGGAGCAGAATCTCCTTATTAATCTTAATTGAATAGTATATTTTCATTTAGCAGTAGTACCTAGTATGTGCCAGGCACTACCACTGTGTTACATGCTACGGATGTGAAAATAAATACACACTGCCCTCCGAAAGCTTACACCTTAATGGAGAGGGTAGCTAAACCAACAGTCAGCTACAGTACAGTCTGACAGACACCATAGCAGAGGTGATCACAGATTGAAGTAAAGTTTTGTCTTATGATTGCATTGTGACTTGTGGTTAAACTAATCTTTTTTACCCCCAGAGTCTTTCTTTAGTTCGTGTGGTAGTTTACATAAACTAAGTGAAGAGCCACTGATTCCTCCTCCACTTCCTCCTCGAAAAAAATTTGATCATGATGCTTCAAATTCCAAGGTAAGGAATTCCCTGGTGGTCCAGTGGTTAGCTGCGGGCTTCCACTGCAGGGGCACAGGTTCCATCCTTGGTTAGGGAACTATAGATCCTGCATGCTGCGCCTTGTGGCCAAAAAACAAAAACAAAAAATCAAATTCCAAGGTAGTCCACAGGACGTAGGTGTGCCTCAACTTATTCAAAGTTGTGAATCTTCAAAATAGTGCTTGTTCTTATAAAGAGTCTGTCAGTTACAATTTGGTCACCCATTATGGCTTTTAAATATTTAGGTTGTTTTATTTAGAAAAATACCTTAAATAATTGTTTAATCCTCATAATAATTTTTCTAAAAAAAGAGGCTGGGCAGATTCACAGATGCTCAGAAGTACTTTTATTTCTGGTGGAGATGGAAAGAACTGTAGTATTCAAACCATTCTCCAAACTTTCAACTGGTGCTTCTCAAACTTTAGGTTGCGTCAGAAGCACCTGGAAGGCTTGTTAAAACCAGATGGCCAGAGTTTCTGATTCAGTAGGTCTGGGGTGGAGCCCACGAATTTGCATTTCTAACGAGTTCCCTACTAGTGTTGATGTTGCTGATCCCCGGATCACACTTTGAGAACCACCACTGAGCTTCACTAGGGATAGTAGAAGTAAATGGCCAAAAAGCAGAAGCTGGATATTAAGTCCTCTTGTCCTTTCGTGTCCTTTCATGTTTACAAAGCTATGTATTCTTTTTACTCACTTGCCCATTATTATAAATAAAACCATATATTTATAAACTGTATATATAAAGCAAGATAATCTGAGGCTTTATAAGATTTCAATTAAAACATCTCATATATCAAAATATTAAACTGGGCCCTGAGTGAAACTGGGAGTAATTTACTCATAAATCTGATCATTAAACCAGATTAACCTGTTTTGAGGCTCTGGATTTAACTTAACACATAAGAATGCTTTAGTCTTTTTAAAACTTTTTCTTACAGATTTTTCAGGAGAACAGAGGTATAATTTAATCTTTTTGTTTTTGAGGGAACTATGAAATCTGATGATGACCCCCCTGCTATTCCGCCAAGACAGCCTCCTCCTCCAAAGGTAAAACCCAGAGTTCCTGCTCCTTCTGGTGCATTTGACGGGCCTCTGCATAGTCCACCACCGCCGCCGCCGAGAGATCCTCTTCCCGATACCCCTCCACCAGTTCCCCTTCGGCCTCCAGAACACTTTATAAACTGTCCGTTTACTCTTCAGCCACCTCCACTGGGACATCTTCACAGAGATCCAGACTGGTTCAGAGACGTTAGTACGTGTCCAAATTCTCCAAACACTCCTCCTAGCACACCCTCTCCAAGGGTACCACGTCGATGCTACGTGCTCAGTTCTAGTCAGAATAATCTTGCTCATCCTCAAGCTCCCCCTGTTCCACCAAGGCAGAATTCAAGCCCTCACCTACCAAAACTGCCACCAAAGACTTACAAACGGGAGCTTTCGCACCCCCCATTGTATAGACTGCCTTTGCTAGAAAATGCAGAAACTCCTCAATGACCCTAGCCATATGTAGTCATTGACACTGGAATGGTATTTGTAAAGTTTTTTTTTAATTTATTCAAAAAAGGCATAGTATTTTAGTACTTTTTAAAAATAATGCTCTTACAAAAATGCTACTGATCAAATAAGCTTTTAAAAATTGGAAAAATAAAAATACAGAAGTCCTTTACCATTATCCTCAGGTGATCAGTAGCATTGCCTTGTCTTGGATCCTCAGTGCTGCCCAAAGGCCAGTATAAAGAATTTATATTTGCACTGTAGACTCTGCTAAAATATGGTTTAAAGTGACATTGATTGCACTGAAGGGGGATAGTGCATTTGTGGAATTTTTCAAATTTGAGTAACAGATGACTTTTTAAGGCAGTGAATTTATACACATATAGGGGGTGCGTGGTGATACTGAGTTTTAAGCCTCTTTGACCATCTTCTAGTTTTTACATTTAGGAAGATCGTGAATAACACCCACTGTTCTTAAACTCTTTAATGCCATGTCTTAAAAGCCAGAATTTGCTGCTGAAGACAAAAGTGAAAAATAGAACGAAAATAATAGAATGCACTGTTTATTGTTTTGTCGAAATGTAAACAGACTACCTAACCCAATCATAGAGGAAAAAAGGGCATATATCTTATACAGATGTGCCTTTTTGTTTTTGCAGACTATGGTGTCTTTAGCTAACGAGTTGCCTATTATTTTGGAAAACAAAGTTAATATGCCATACATGTACAGTTTTGTTTATATTGTACATTTAAAGATAATGCTAATAACCTATATAAATTTATGTGACTCAAGGCCTATAATACAGTCTGCTACTTTACTAATTCATAAAGCTGGAGGATAAGTTTCTTATGGCATAGGAACCAACTGCATTGCCTTCAAAACCAAGTAACTTTCTCTATAAATCTCGTGTTAACTAAAAATTTTTGAAGTATTTTTTTAGATTGGTAATATTTAAACCAGCAGACACTTAAAGCTTTATTAAACTTTTTAATCAGAGACGTGATTAAAACTTTTATTTGCCATTTGTACTCCTTCGTTCTAAGTGATGAAAAAGCGTGTTTTCCTCTTAGTGCCGTAGCAGCAGTTGTAAAGTAGCCAAAAGCCACATTGTTTATTTACTGGTCTGTGGCCTTTTACTGTGCTTTGTATCAGAGTTCCTAACAAGATTAATAAATCACCCCAGTCTTAATTTTTAAAAGACGTTTAAAATATGTGTTTTCATTATAAGGAACAAGGGGGTAAGATTGTTGAGTTCTGTAGAAGTAATATATACACACATTTTCAATAATTTGTGCAATTTAAGTTCCATAATCCCAAAGAATTTAAGTGATGTAAACTTCAGAGGGATAACTTTTTCTTCACCGTTAAACGCAGCCACAAGCTTCTTGCAACCATTTTTACGCATTCTGAAGAAAAATTAGGAGCATGTTAGGAATTCTCTGTAAGCAGGATTATAGCCATCCTTGGTAGGATCTTGGAAGCTGCCTTGATTTAAGGCCAGTAATAAAAAAAAAAAAACAGTGTGAATCAACCTCCAACTAGATAAAAACATTCAGGTTGGCTTTGTCCGGAAAAGTAATTTCAACTGCCCGTTCGTTGAGGCAGACTTGTAATTTAGGGGAGAATGAGGCGGTTCCGCACGCAGGGTAAGCCTTGGCCTGCGGCTGGGCCACGCCGGTGGAACGTCGCCTTCCGGTCTTTGTGTCTTCGCGCACGCGCTATGGCGCCAACTCCGCCTCCTGGAGGCGCCGGGCCCCTTGCAAGGCGGGGCCCGGGGCGGTCTTGTGGGTGTGACGTCACTGCGCTCGATACTCAGTGTTGCCGGGCGGCGATGGCGGCTCCCCTGGAGTCCTCCGGGGAGGAGCAACTGCGGAACTTTGTGCGAGTTTTGGAGAAGCGAGATGGCACGGTGTTACGACTACAGCAGTACGGCTCCGGCGGCGTGGGTTGCGTTGTTTGGGACGCTGCCATCGTCCTTTCTAAATACCTGGAAACGCCCGGGTTTTCTGGCGATGGGGCCCACGCGCTGAGCCGGCGGTCGGTGCTGGAGCTGGGCTCTGGCACCGGGGCCGTGGGGCTCATGGCTGCTACCCTCGGGTAAGAACTTGGCGGGAGGGGACGCCGCTTTTCGGGAAACCCCGGTTACTGGCTTCCCATCCTTGTGCCTACACCTCAGTCACCGTTATTTTATAGGGCAGATGTCATAGTCACCGACCTAGAGGAATTGCAAGACTTGCTGAAGATGAATATTAATATGAACAAGCATCTTGTCACTGGTTCTGTTCAAGCCAAGGTACTGAAATGGTTTGTATGGCCTTTCAGCTTGTTTTAAGATAACTGTAGTTTGCTTTAAATTGTGTTACACTAAAAGCATGGTTAATACGAAGGGGACTTTCTGGGTCTTGTTTGTAAAACAGGAATATTTTAAATTAGTGAAACAACAGTTTAAAATATTGGTTGACATTTTTAAGGGGGGAAGAAATAGAAGACTTTCCTTCTCCTCCAGACTACATCCTGATGGCCGACTGCATATACTATGAAGAGGTGAGTATTTAATAGTGAAGGCTCTTCCTTTAGAAGATTGAAACCGTATTTGGTGGATTCTAAAGCACGCATTTCTTCGCATTTTAACATCTCTGAATGCAGGATATTTGTTCCATAGTTGATGACACAGTAAAGAGAAAATAAAGGTCACCAGGAACTACATATATATACACTCATGATTAACATAGAGGTCCATGAAGCATATGGAGAAAAGTGTTATGTGCATTTTGCGAGAAGTGTCTGTAAAATTTTAAAAGGATTTTGCCATTTGGATCTCCTGTAAAAGACTAAGATTTCTTCTTCTTTTTTTTTTTTTTAGTTATTCCTAGTGAATGTGTTAATCATGACATTAATAATTAAGTTGCATCGTAAAGAATTCATTGTTCTGTGGCAAGATTTATTATATTTATATAATGATTTTTTTTAGAATATCAGTTTGTGTAGTGTTGTGGGCATCACTCATTTTTTTCAATAATGAGCATTGAACCAACTTATGTTCTAGTTAGGGTTGGACTTGCTTTTGTAGGTAAATTGTTGATTGTTTAAATCCCAAGTTAAATTATATTAAATTAAATTTTAAGAGTGCAGTCAATTTCATTTGTTTACCCATGGGGACTCCAAAATGCAATCACTTGAATCCTTTCTCTGGAAACTGAAATTAATATGATGGTTGATTAGTTAAGAAGAGTTTACTAATCATCAGTTACAGAGCTGTAACTACGTTTACTTGTTTGGATTGATTCAAAATGGATGAATTGCCAAAGAAGATATACAGAGTGCCAACAAACACATGAAAGAATGCTCAACATCACTAATCATTAGAGAAATGCAAATCAAAACTACAATGAGATATCATCTCACACCAGTCAGAATGGCCATCATCAAAAAATCTAGAAACAATAAATGCTGGAGAGGGTGTGGAGAAAAGGGAACCCTCTTACACTGTTGGTGGGAATGTAAATTGATACAGCCACTGTGGAGAACAGTATGGAGGTTCCTTAAAAAGCTACAAATAGAACTACCATATGACCCAGCAATCCCACTACTGGGCATATACCCTGAAAAAACCATAATTCAAAAAGAGTCATGTACCAAAATGTTCATTGCAGCTCTATTTACAATAGCCCAGAGATGGAAACAACCTAAGTGTCCATCATCGGATGAATGGATAAAGAAGATGTGGCACATATATACAATGGAATATTACTCAGCCATAAAAAGAGACGAAATTGAGCTATTTGTAATGAGGTGGTAGGACCTAGAGTCTGTCATACAGAGTGAAGTAAGTCAGAAAGAGAGAGACAAATACCGTATGCTAACACATATATATGGAATTTAAAAAAAAAAAAATGTCATGAAAAACCTAGAGGTGAAACAGGAATAAAGACACAGACTTACTAGAGAATGGACTTGAGGCTATGGGGAGGGGGAAGGGTAAACGGTGACAAAGCGATAAAGAGGCATGGACATATATACACTACCAAACGTAAGGTAGATAGCTAGTGGGAAGCAGCCACATAGCACTTAGGGAGATCAGCTCGGTGCTTTGTGACCGCCTGGAGGGGTGGGATAGGGAGGGTGGGAGGGAGGGAGACGCAAGCGGGAAGAGATATGGGAACATATGTATATATATAACTGATTCATTTTGTTGTGAAGCTGAAACTAACATACCATTGTAGAGCAATTATACTCCAATAAAGATGTTAAAAAAAAAAAAAAGATGGATGAATTGTAGGGAAATTATAATTACCCCCCCCCCTCCCCTACTCCCTTTTATAGTAAACATATAAATTTTTAAAAGTCATAAAAATCATATTCCTTTTTGAACAGTCTTTGGAGCCACTGTTGAAAACCCTAAAAGATCTCAGTGGATCTGAGACTTGTATTATATGTTGTTATGAACAACGAACAATGGGAAAAAATCCAGAAATCGAGAAAAAATATTTTGAGGTGAGTACTCTACTAGATCTACCTTTGTAGTGATTACCCTTTAGAGAGGCTATATGTGACTTTGTGTTAAAGTGTATTGTGGTAATTTTGAGTAGGGAAAACATTCTGCTTGTATGAACCCAAGGAGAGGATCAGGATCCTTCATAGCACACCATTCTAATAACCGCCAGCCTCCCTCCCCACCGCCTTTTTAATCTTTTCTGGTTATTTATTTATTTTTCTTTTCTAACTTGTCGATCTGTAAAACAATGTAAAATAATAATGTGACACCCTTGTCTTTCCTGAGAAAGTTTTCAGCGTTTCTTTATGAAACGTGTTGCTGGCTTTTAGGAACATGTTAATGATGTGTATATTATTTTTGGAGATGACATCAAAGAAACATGACATGTGGTATCTTTTTATTTTAGTGTTTTCCACTGTATTTTTATGACCAGTGTATCCTACCTATTTCGAGATTTTTCTTTTTTTTTCTTTTGAAAGAATTAAAGACCCACAGGAAGTTGCGGAAGTAGTACATAGAATCCCATTTATCCTTCACCCATCTTCCTCCAGTGGTCACCCAAGCCCTTTTTATGGGCAAAAATCCACCACATTACAAGTGACTCCTCATAAGGGTCCATCTGTATAGCCTTGCAGTTTTATCCTCTGAAAGGGTTACTTTGGGTAAAGTGACTCTTCATGACTCTGCCTCAGATATATGATGAAATGGTTTTTTAATTTTATGTTTTTCTTGAATATGAAGAATGTTAATAAACTTTTGAAATAATGTATAATTGAAAATTTTATTTTATTAATCAATTTCAGTTGAGTTAAAACATGTAAAATGCACATGTATCAAGTGCTTAGCTGAGTTTTTCATGTGCCCCTCCCCAGTCAGTACTCCAAAGGTAACCACCATTCTGATTTCTGTCACCACAGGATAGTTCATATTATTAACTATAAAGTATATCTTTTTTAAATTTATAGCTTCTTCAACTAGACTTTGACTTTGAAAAAATTCCTTTGGAAAAACATGATGAAGAATATCGGAGTGAAGATATTCACATTTTATACATCAGAAAGAAAAAATCGGTAAATACATACTTGGCTTTTCATCCTCTGAAGCAATTTCATTAGCTGGACACTGTCTCTGAGCTTGTGTGTGATGTAGATGTTAATTTTCAAGTGGGGAAACAGCTTTGATGAGTCACTGGACTCGGGCACTAACTCTCAGTGTTAAGATTGCCTAACCTACCTGGCCTCAGGTTTTTCCTCTAAAATAAGGCAGGCTTCTTTTGTAAAGGTCATTTCTAGCTGTAAATTATATAGCTTTATTATTGGGCATTACCTCAGACAAGGAACTTAACTATTTATAAATTTCTGTTATCTGTTAGAGGTTTTAAAATGCCAGCTCTGTCCTTCGTGAACTCTCTCCAACCATTCATATGTTTTTTAATGGTCCAAATAAACTATAAAAAGGTAGATCTGTCCAATAAAGAAAAATGCATTCAGTTAAGTAGAATTTATATATGTTCCCCTTTTTGGTTGCTTCCTTTACCTGTTATACTAATTACATTTTATGCACATTGCCTCTCTGATGCCTAGAATTTGAACCTGTAGAAAGGAAGAATTGTATCTCATCCATTTTTGTCCTCCAGCACCTTCTATATATGTGACTGGTATATGGCAGGGGCAAGATGAGTTTTATGAATTGAGAGTGCTAAATTTACTTAGTTCCATTTGTTTCTATTATCTTTCCTTTGAATTTGTGATGAAGTTTTCTGATTATGTGAACTCTTGCCAAAAGCAAATGTGTAATTTTTGGAGTCAAGACTAGGTGTTGAGACTGTAAGGAAAGAAGAGCTGTAGGATTAGTAATTCAGATCAATTATTATGTGGCATGGCGCTAGAGACAAAAAGACAAATTTAAAATGTTTTGTGCCTTAAGGGATCTGGTTTTAGCTGAAACCGTTGTATAGTTTTTAAAGTAGATTTTTTTTTTTTGAAGCATAAAGATTTTGTGTTTCCTAAATATGAAGGCTTTTTTTTCTTCAGAGAATCATTTGTTTCTTTAACTTGATATAACTTACATACTATAAAGTTTACCCTTTTAGAGTTTACAGCGATTTTTAGTATATTCACAGAATTGGACAACCATCACCACTTTTTAAACATTTTCATCACCCCAGAAAGAAACCCCATACCTGTTAGCAATTACTTCTTTATCCTGCCTCCCTCAACCCCTGACAACCACCAGTCTGTATCTCTGTGGATTTGCCTGTTCTGAACATTTCATGCAGATGGAATCACACATTATGTGGCTTCCTGTGTCCGGCTTCTTTCATTCTGCAGTGTTTTCAAGGTGCATCCATGTTTTATAGTTGAATAATATTCCTTTGTATAGATATTACCACATCTCATCCATCCATTCATCAGTTGATGGGCATTTCTGTTGTTTCCACTTTTTGGCTCTAGGGAATAATGCTGCTGTGAATATTCATGTAAGAATTTTTGTGTGGCACATGTTTCAAATCTCTCCAGTGTATGTATACCCAGAATAGAATTGCTAGGTCATACAGAAACTCTACATTTAACTTTTTGAGGACTTCCCAAACTGTTCCAAAGCTACTATACCATTTTCCTTTCTCACCAGCAATGTCTGCAGGTCGCAGTTTCTCCACATCCTCACTAATACTTATTGTTGTCCATCTTTTTTATTGTAGTCATCTTAGTAGGTATGAAGTGGGTTTTATTTCCCTAATGACTGATGATGTTGAGTATCTTTTTTTTACTGACCTTTTGTACATCTTTACAGAAATCCTTTGCCTATTGTAAAATTGAGTTGACTTTTCACTGTTGGGTTGTAAACATTCTTTATATATCCTGGATACTAGACCCTTACCAGATATATGACTTCCAAATACTTTCTCCCATTCTGTGGGTTGTCCTTTCGTTTTCTTGATAGTGTGTCCTTTGAAGCACAGAGGTTTTTAATTCTGATGATGTCCAATGTATCTGTTTTTTCTTTGGTTGCTTGTACTTCGGGCATCAGCAAAGACCATCTCTAAACATTATGAATGGCTGTTCATTTGAATTGCATTAGCCATTACTAGGAATATTACCTACTATTAAGTACCCGGTAAATACTTAATTTATGATAAGAAATCAGTGTTTTAAGGTTTCCATTTTTTTCTTATAGAAATTTCCGTCGTGAAATCTAGTCATCTTACCCAAGCCTCTAACAACGTGGGTAAGCTAACATTGTGAATGGAGCATGTGAATACAGCATGGGAAGATTGTGTTCACAGATTTTTCCAGCATGTCCTTAGGGATCCGATATATAGACAACCACCACGGGCTGCCTGCATTACGAAAAATGATTGACTGACTGCCTACCTGCCAATGGGCCTGAAATCCAACTTAGTTTACTTTTAGCTCGGCATCAAGTTCTGCTTAAAAGAAACATGTTTCAGTCACTCCTCAAATAAAAATAGGTACTGAGGTTAGCCTAAAGTCTGCCAAAAATAGTGAAAGTAGCATGGCTGACTTGGCGTATTTTCAGGAAAGTAGAGATAAGTTGATCCGGTTTCTAAAGAGAGGTATCAATTACTATTTAATAATGTTTAAATTCAAATCAGTAAATTTTAGCTTGTCTTCAAGATAAATTTAAAAGAAGGTTTTTATTTTAACGTATTTATGCAGTGGTTTTTATCGTTAAGTATCTTCCACTTCATTTCTTTTAAGATAACTTTAATACTTGTGTTCTTTTACTTTAAAAAAAAAAAATGAAAATACTGTTTTGTGGCCAAGTTCTGTGCTTTTTCTTCACCACACTGACTACAGTATAATTTACTATGGGAGTTAGATAGTAGATTATACCATAGTCAGTTGATAAAGATGAAAGTAAGATATTGGGAGATTGGGAGGGAGGAAAAGGTATCTTTACAAAATTGTTTATTTGAGAATGGAGTGAAAATAAAAAGTCCGGCTTCAGGCTCTTGCATTGATGTGGCTCCTGCACTTTTCCTCACGTATAGCTTCCAGGAAAATGCGGCTAAAGTCACTGGTGTTAACTTGTTTATATGAAACAGAGAAAAGTATTTAAATGACTACAAATGTAGTTCTGTATACATTTATCAAATGATTTTGATTCTGTGTGGTCTCTGTTTTACGTTCTCATGAGAATCATCTGTTCACAGACTGATCTATCAGGACTTCAGTCGCATGGTTCCAAAGTGTAATGGTAACCAGATGGAATTCTGGTACTTACAGGCATTGGTGCTAGGTGGCACAATGTATATGTTAAAATAAACATTGTTTTTGAGATCCTGTGACTTTGAGAATGTTTCAGAAATAGCTTTTGAGAAAATGAACATTTAAAGACGGTGACTGGTTTCCAGAAAGAGCAAAAGCAGCCCTAGAGAAATTAAAGATTGACATCAAGAGAACAGTTCTTTCCTTCAGGCTTGCTTCAATCTTTAATGTTTGTTCTGCTGTTTTGTTTTTTTTTTTTCCAAACTGCTCTTAGCATTTCATTAAGCAGTTTACTAAGCAGTTAGTGTAACCTAAGTATATGATACTTTTTTAGTTACAAATAATACCAGGTATTACTAGTGAAGTCTTAGAACAAACGACCACTTTCTGGCTTGTTTCATAACATTATAGAACTTGGTAGAAATTAGTTTAACATTCACCAGCAATAGTAGTCCATCCAGATTCCTCAGATACCCTTCACCCTCCTCCCATTTTCACTGTAGTTCTAAAAAGAGTCGCTGTGGGTCTTCCCTGAAGTGCCCTTGACAGTCCTGTAATGAAAGCCCAGCTCCTTTACCTCAGACAGGTGACCATACACCAGAACTTCCTGGAGGGGTTGGGCTGAAGTCAGCCTCTTTGCAGCTTAGCCAGAATCACACCCTTGCTTGTGTGTACTTCCTCTTCTTTCATGTCCTATTCCCACTCCTTTACTTATCACCTCCTTAATAAGTCACTTGCATACATTCATTGTCATCTGTTTCTGGGGAACTGACCTAATGGTACTGACTACAGAATTAAGTAATTTGTAACAGAAAGTCAAGTGAGTTTTATTAGCTTATTCTGGAATAAGGCCAAAGCAGAGGTTAAAAGGTGCCAATCCCCACGTTCTAGGATCAGAGAACCACGGTGATTAGGACCAGTAAGCACTGCAGGGCTTACTGAGGGGTGCCAGATCAGATAACACGTGCTATCACTAACCACCATCCCACAGACACCTGGGGAGGCCTGGGAGAGGTCTTCTTCTGGAGAAGTGCAGTGTTGGGGAAAGGGATTTAGTCCTTCGAGCTCTCATGAGGGAGGGAACGGAGTGCATCTGTACTCAGAAACCACAGGAGGGAGACCTGAGGGAGTAATTCAAGACCCAGGATGCCTCCAAGAAGGGGAGACAGCACCTTTTCCACCTGGTGTGGTTTGTCTTTACTCAGCAGATGAACACATCTGTTTAATCCCAGAGCGTGGGAATGGAATTGGAGAGGCACTGCGGGGACTGTCAGGCAGAGAGGCGTTAGAGATGGATCGTGCCGGCCTGAGGACTTGCGCAGCAGCATGGGGAGGTTAAAAGGCAGGTGATGCAGCAGATGAGTGAGGCGTGATGCCACTGTCTGGGGGTCAGCCAGAATATAGGCAACTTTGAAATCTCAGTGGACTGCCAGGGCCAGGAGGAACTGCTCAGTAGTGGGCCTCTGGTCTTCCAGGCGAGTGGGAGTTGCCGCTGTGCACAATGAAACACATAAGCTGCTTACCACAGTGCAGTGATGGCCAATTAGAAAGCCACCCCCCAGTAAGGCGGTGCTTCTCAAACTAGCTGTACATGGAAAGCTAAAAGCAAGCAGACCATGTCCAGGTCCCATCCCAGTCCAGTTAAACCAGAGGCATGGTATTTTTTGGTGAAGGGCTCTGGATGGTTTTAATGTTTAGCCTAAATTGAGAACTACTGCAATAAAGAAACCTCTTCTAGCATCTGCCTCCCAAGAAGGGAGCGAAGAAAAGGAAAGAGAAGTCTAAAAACCATCTGTGATTAAAGTGGGTCTATACTTTAAAGGGAGGGAAAGAGCTTTGAATCCGATGTGGCATTTTCTATGAAATGGTTTTAAAGTAAACAGGGCTGAGTTTTAGAAACTAAATAGCTGAAAGTTTAGAGAATCTGGCCGAGAGGGTAAAGGTGATGCTACTCAAGAGTAAGGGGGGATTCAAGAGCTGGGAAAAGAAAATTGTTACAGGGGTAGCCTCCAGTGACTATATATCAGTTATAACTTTGAAGTCTTTTAAGGTTACATAGCTTTAAATCTTAACCTTCTACAGTTCATTACCAAGGGTCCACGGATCATATGTTTGGTGAATTTGGAAGTGAAGTTAGGTTATTTAAAATTATTTTAAGAAGTGTTAATAATCCAGAATGACTGTTAGTACAGCTTTTTACACAGCATACCTAGTTTCCTTGTTAAATGATGCCACATACAGTATTAACTCAGACTACAGACATTGTATTCATTTAAAAAAAGTATGGGTCATAGAAATATGGCTGTTGTTCCTAAGGTTCCCTGTAGATGGCATTGCTTGACTTTGTCTTTAAACAGTTTATAGATAGGAAGTTGTTAAAATAGAATATTTTGAAATGGAATCACACTTGCATTTTAAAGGTGAAGTAAATTAGATTTTAAACAATAAATGTACCTATCATGAGTTGCTTTCAGAATATTATGTGGTTGTCTTAGTTCGTTTGGGCTGCTATAACAAAATACCATGGACTGGGTGGCTTATAAACAACAAATTTATGTAACAAATTTATTTCTCACAGTTCTGGGAGGCTGGGCAGTGCAAGATCAAGTTGCCAACTTCCTCCTAGGCAGCTGTATTATTGTAACCTCACAGGACAGAAAGGAAAAGGAACTCCCTGGGGTCTCTTTTATAGGGCACAAATCCCACTTATGAGAGCTTCACCCTCTTGACCTACTCGCCTCCCAAATGCCCTACCTCCAAATAACATCACACTGAGGGACTAGGTTTCAATATATGAATGGGAGAGTGGGGGGGTACAAACATTCAGGCCATAACAATAGTGTAAGTGAAAAGGGATTTTTTTCTTATAAAATTGTATTTGATTTATGTTTTTATTGCATTTTGATACGCCTTTTGAAGTTTTGACTGTCATTCATATAGCTGCATACATTGCAATTCATAAACCATTTCTCTGCTGTTGGTATCTTCCATGAGAGACGACATTGCAAAGTTCTAAAAATTAAATTCACCTTGGAAGTACCTTTTATATAATGCATGATCTTACATCTGAGGTACTTGAAACTTCTAATTAATTTCAATTAGTTTTTCAAACCAGTATACCTTCTTCATTAGAGTAGTAAGTAGCTTTTACATCAAAAGACTGAAGCTCTGTCTTTGGCTATATCACAGTTCTATAACTGATATTTGACTTTCAGTTTTAATTTTTCCTCAAGGAACATCAGGATTTGAAAGAGTTTTTGATTCACTGATAATAAACATTTTAGAAGTGGAATATTCAGTTTTCATACCATAGAGACCTTCAGGCTATATTTGAATTAGAAAAAGTTGGTGGCAACAGAATTTTACTGAAAATTAATCAGGTAATCGAAAGACAGAGTTTTCACTTTAAATGATTTTGGGTAGGAAAACAAATTCTGAAATCATTTTCACCAGTTTGGTTAAAACTGTTAGGTGTTTGGGGTCATTTAAGACATTGTCTTAGGTCCTTTTGTGTTGAAGTTCTGGTAAAGATCTAGTGAGTCCATCAACTGTGAGATACATTTTATGTAATTCATTATTAATAACATAGTTTTCAAATAATAGGTTTTAAAATATGTTAGAGCAAATTATCTCTATGATAATGTTTTTCTCACAAGCATTCTGAAAACTATCAGCACAAGCCTTGAGACCAGATTATCTGGATTTAAATCCCAATTCCGCCATTTACTTAGCTCTGTGACTCTGTGCCTCAGTTTCCTCCTTTGTGAGGTGAGGATCATAATAAATTGCCTCATAGTTTGCCATGGGGATTAAATTAGTTTAATACATGGAATATCTGGCACACAGTAAGCCTTCAATAAATGTTGTGATTATACTAGAGATGGAATTACTTTACATTAGGGGATGGGAAAATGTAATAATACAAGTCTGTGTTGCAGTGCGAAATCTGGGCTTTTTTTTTTTTTTTTTTTGCGTTACGCTGGCCTCTCACTGTTGTGGCCTCTCCCATTGTGGAACACAGGCTCCGGACGCGCAGGCTCAGCGGCCATGACTCACGGGCCCAGCCGCTCTGCGGCATGTGGGATCTTCCTGGACCAGGGCACGAACCCGTGTCCCCTGCATCGGCAGGCGGACTCTCAACCACTGCGCCAGCAGGGAAGCCCTGGGCATCTTTTTTAGAGTATAGAGCCCTTATGAACATCACTGCCTCATCATGGTGGGAATGGCACCTGGGGTGGGAGGAGCCTGAGAACACTGTTGCACGGTACTGTTAGTTGAACAAGTAAGCAATTTAGAAAGAAGGAAAAGGTATAGTGGAAGGAAAACCTTTGTTTGCTGTTCATTTTTATGGTTTTAAAGCAAGTGCCATGAGCATTCAGAGGCCAACAAAAACAGAGGAAATCCTCATTTCCAAATAACGGAGCCTGGGCTTGCTGGCTGGAGCTCCAAGATTCCACCATCCTGGACCCTTAGCGAATTTTTCCTTCTGTGGTTCTTATCTGTATTAAACTGAGACCAGATAAGTAGTAGATAAGTGGCACCAGGTCATTTTTCTGAAGTCTGGGGCTTGATATATCTGCATAATTACTTTCGGAGTTTAGATGTGTTCATTCTAAAAGAGCAAGGTGACTATGAAGTACTTGTGTAGCAGTTGCCTCCTGGATAAACCGTCTTTTACCATGTAATCAGTATATACGATGGGTTGCAGGAGCTTAGTTTAACTAATCCCTCAGGCTGACTATGTCTGTACCAACAGATAAGAATGAGAGTCAGAACCGTGAATTGCATCTGCTTCTCCGCCAGCCAGAGTAAAATAGCACAAGTGCTTAACTGCATTATATTAAACTTTCAAGATCTTTTTGTTTGCAATTGATGGAAAAGATTGTCATGAACACTAGATAGCTGGCCTTAATTTTTAGAAACATCTATTGCTTACCTGTAATACACTTACTTTGGTGAAGGATAAGTTCACACTTTAATATTCACAAGGTTAGAAACAATGATATTTCTTCTTTGCAAAACAAAATTAAGTCTTTTGAAAAAGAGCTGTTCTAGATGCAGTCCTTACAGGG